TGGCTGAACTACACTAGGCAGACATCCATAGCAAGGGGAAAACCCGTTTCACTTCAGTTAAACGGTTGTCCGTAGTGAATTAGCATATTTGTGTTTTTCGAAATTGGAAAGTTTTGAATGCTAAGTGAATTTAATTATTTCTAAAATATAAATCGTGTAGTTATAGGTTCACTGGTGTATGTATTCCGTTCCAGAGACTTAGGGGTACATATTAATCTGTGTGATGTTCACGTTTTTTAAAATTTGGTCTTGACAGACATAAGTTAATTCAACATTGCGATGCGTGAAATACGGACCCCATTGGTGCTTTTAATATGGAACCCGTCTAACTTTTGTAAAAGTATGCGGTAGATGAATGAAAAAAATAGAAGGAAAATGAAAAAAGTAAAAATGGATACCTAACACTATAGGATCATCATATTTGTGATTTTTGTAAATGATTAGCTTCTTCTTTGTACATTTCTTTATTATTATTATTATTAAATCATTTTTGCGATAAAATACATTGGAGTGAATAATTTTTAATTATTTAACATTCTTTGTACTTTCCTATTTGTTTTGGATACATTAAAGCGTTTTTTAAAAACATACAGTAAGGTTCCATATTACCACCCGATCTTCCCTAAGCCTACTTTCTGAATTTTTGTACAGAAGCCTTCAAAAACCATACTTATAGTTACACTAACGAAAAAACCAATTCGGAACATTTAGTTTAATAGTTACCAGTACTTTTCGCACAAAAAATGTGGGTGTAGTTATGATACCTTGTTTACAATTCACTATAATGAAAATGGGGTTCCATAATACCACCTTCTCCTCTATATTAATTACTTTTTAAATCAAAATATCTGTTACTTCAAAAACAAAACTCTTTTTTTAACTCTTTCTGCCCTATGGGCACTAAGAGGGCCTCTTTTCAGCAGATCCATTATGGGTTCGGCCAAGCGCACAATGGGGAGGCCGGGTGGTGAGGGACGGGGCCCAACATATCCAGACAAACCATGTCCCGAAAAATTCCTGGGGATATTTCGACCAGTTTGGATTCGATCCCGGATCCCCCAGAGCGGTAGGCTGCCACTTTAATTGCTCGGCCATCCGGCCTTGTTAACAAATATTAAGTATGTTAGATGGGCGGCCTGTAAGACCTCGCTCTTAGGAATTCAATTTCCAATTTATTCCAGATCCCCATAATTTATCATGGGTGGTACGAATCGGAGCATTCCGTATCCCTGTGTAAGTGCACTGGCTTTTTTTTCTCCGTTAGTACACAGGAGTGTTTGAAAATTCCAACGCATATTTTTGATTTGGTGGAAAGTAGTATACCAGTTGTAAAATATAACATTTCTACATGATTTTGAGATATCTAGTTACTCTATGATACTACACTAATGGCCAAATTATTTCTCTTGAATAGGCCATCAAGCTATTTTTCAGCATATAAACATTACTTAAGGTTAGATTAGGTTAGATTAAGCTATGTTAGGTTAAATGATGTTATGTTATGTAATGCTATGTTATATTAAGTTAAGTTAAACAAAAACTAAATAAATCATTATGAATCTTGAAAAAAACTTGGTTAACACAGTACTAACCACGTTTTTTGTGGGGATTTTGCAAACCCTACAATGAGAAATGTCTTCTTTCTCTTACAGAAGTTGCCACATTACTGTAGCAATTTCTGAGCATGCTCTATACATAAAATCATGAAGCTACTGAAGAGAACACGGATATTAGTTGCGAAATGTATGAATAGTGCAACTTTCAAAAAATTTGGGGTGTCGAAAATCCCCGTGAACTAACGCAGGGGTATTCCTTTCCGGTTTTCTCATCTACGTCAATCGATTTCATTGTGGATCAGGGCCTTCGAGAGATGGGAGTTAGGGATTTTCTTTGGTCTCAGAATAAACCTAACCTAGAGACTTAGCAGTTCCTACTTCTATAAATTAATGTTATTTCTACTTACAAAAAATGTAATCTTTAAGACTTTTGTTTATTACTAAAAAACGATTCTCTATGTATTTCATTTGTTCAAAAAAGTAAAAAACAAGAGCACCCGTTGAGGGACAAAAAAGGGTCTCTTCCTTACAAAGCTTTCAATAGGCATGCGCTTTCGTAATGGCGAAATTCTGCCGGTGCTCATTCAGCTATCGGCGGAATGAATAAAACCATTGAACATTGATAGTTGGTTTCGGGTTCGAGCATGACTGATAGATTATCCGTATGAAGTTTTTTTGAGTTTACTTTGTAAATTCCTAAATAGAGGCCAATTTTTCGTAGAAAGTCCTCCCGGGAGACACCCACTTGTCAGATGATCCTCTTGTTATATTGCCTTACCTATCAACCAAAGCAAATTCTGCTGGCTCCCCTATTAATCAATCAATCATTAACAATATTAATTAAAAGTAAATAATTTTTAGCAGTAAACTTTTCAATGTTGAAAACATTATCAAGAGTGCAGTTTTTTTTTAAAGAGTTAATTATGTAGCTTACAAAGAAAGAAGTCTAATGGAAAAAATTACTTAGCGATTAATTTAAATTTTTATTGACTTTTTCGGGAATATTTTATTTTTTTGGTAGATCAATATAGCTTTAATTTTGATTTTGTAAATACACTGAATATGCATTAAGAATGGATTTAAAACAGATGGATTCGTGTATGGAAAAAGAGAATCGAAACTTGCATGAGTAAATCTACGTCATTCATTACATTGACTTATCTCGTTAGATAAGAATTCTTATCAAAGGCAAGAGAAAGAAAAGATAAACAAAAGTTTCGATATAACATATATTAGTAAATTGTTTTTCATTAGAGTCGTAGAATGTTCTCCAAAAGACAAGTTTTATAACACGAAACAAATACTGAAATGCTTTAAAGATTTTGTTTAAATTTCAACTTTTTAATATGCAAAATAAATTTTATACGAATATTAAAGTAAAATGTTACATCAATATTCGTACAAAGTGTGAAATTACGAAATCATTTTTATAACACAAAAGCTTTCGTTGGCCATTTTAATTAAGTTTTTTTTTCTGTTTTATTGTTTAATTTAGTATTTTAATTAATAAAAATCAAATTTATGATACCGTTTCGAAATATAATAATTTTCGAATAATAATGATAAACGGAATTTAAATTTTGTTTATCATCATTATTTGTTATCGTTTTTTTTGAAATCATCGTCTCACATATTCGATTTTTATTATGAAAAATTCTGTTATAATATTAATGAATAAATTAATTAAAATGGTGAAAAAGTTTTATAACTGCTTGATGTAAATTTATAGTTTGAATCCATTATCCCGTACAATTTTCTAAATACAGTAGAGCATCGATTATCCGACCCCCGATCAACCGTCACATCGGTTAACCGACCGCGTTCTAGTCGGCAAATTCAAATGTCCGCTAGTTATGTGGCGCAACAATATTTGGCTATGTCTTGGCTACTTTAATATTATTTTTACGTGTTTTAGCTGGCAACACTAGCTCGACCATGAAAGGGAGCCAGTATTTAAACGAGGTTTAATTTTTTGATTTTAACGATACAATAGCGACGATTATTATTTTAACCCATGGCCGGTCCTCTCCGGCACTTCGATCTTTCATACCACTATAGCTGGCGAACTGACACTGTGTGGTAGGTACTAGCTAGACAGAATTGCATGTCTATTTGCAAGGTCTCCCGAAGAATTCTATTCAATTTTTTTTTGTTTGGTTTGTTTTTAATATTGCGCGAATAGAACTCTTCAAGAAAGCACATTTTTGGGGTATAATTGTATGTACATGTATTGTTACTGGGGGACACAGTGTAAGGTGTCATTAACAGTAGAGCCCTAGAACGCAGGTAACAGTACCTCAGCAAAAAATAAAATAAAATAAAAATTAAAAAATTGACAGCGCCTAGTCAGCTTTACGAATACGGCCCTGATTAGCTAGGATCCTTGACCTTGAATAATACTGAGTAGGTGTGATCTTATGTTAACTTATATAAAAAGGTTATTTTATATAGGCCTAAACTTATATAAAATCTCGTCAGTCCACATCTACTTGAGGTATCGCGTTATCTAAAACCAATGGTGATTCGATAATATACTTGTAATATTTTTTATTAGTCTATATCTTTCGAATTGTACTTTTATGGCCCTAGTTAATTGAAATTTTTTTAAAGACAAATTTATAAGACATAACAGATTCTACTTTATCAAAAGCAAAAAGTCGCGGTTTTGGTTTTGTGACGATAATAAGACACCGCGACTCGTTTCGTCATAGTATGAAATCATAGATACCAGGCAATGAATAATAAATTATGACGTTGATTTCTCTATTACATAGAGAAATAACTTGATTAAACAGAAATAACTATCAAGTTTTCATTTTTTTTTTGTTGTTAAACAAAAATGCCATTTTAGTTATTTTTAGTTAGTATACAAAGTGAATAAGCAATTTAAATATAATTATCTATTGTCTGTATAATTATATTTTACACTAGAAATTTGCATATACCTGTATTATGTACAAAATACAATATATAATTATATTATTTAATATGCTATTTTACATTTATTATGCTAAATTTTGAAATTTTTAATTAATACATTTTTAAAAATATGTTAAAATAATAATATATTTATAACATTAATTGTTCATTTTTTTAAAATTTCTGAATATTGTTAATTTACACCTTCGAGTGTAATTTATTTAATAATAAACACAAAATCTGTTCTACTTAAAATGAAATTTTATTGTTTATTATTTTTTACAAAATCACAAATATACGAGTAAACAGAAAAACAATTTTACTTTTAATAACTTTCTTAATTTATGAATAAACTATTTCAAGGAAGTAAAACACTTTATAACAAGGAAATATTTCGAATGCGATTTATGAAATTAAAATAATATATAAAAATGTATTTATATAAGATAAAAATAATAATTTATTTTAAAGTTAATTTATCATTATTTTATTTTAGTTTAAAAACGGTTTGTGTTAAGAAACGATGCGGAAAGGTCCGTGGCTAACGATCGAAGGTTAAATGTCATATGTCACGAAAAGCGCCCCCTGTCCGCAGTCGTTAGACGTCACGCGTGACGTCATCGATCTGCCGTTTGACGTAGCGGCCGACGGTCTGGATAGACGGTGGAAGGTGAGTTGGTAGAAAATTTATAAAATTTCTGAATTAACGTAAATAATACGAATTTTACGGTGAAAGTGACGAATCGTAAAATGTTTCCGGCTTACAGGTAAATTTTTTTGTAACGTCTTCAATATATATATATATATCAATTATACTAATTTAAAAAAAATAAATTATTGTGATAGTTACGGGATAACTTTTGTTACGGAAATAATTTCGAATTTAAATATTTGATAGTAAAACAATAATAATTCGATTGTTTGGAAAAAACGTGTACATTAAAAACAACGACACCTCGAATGTTTGAATAAAGAAATATATTGTATAAAATACGATGGCGAATAATGTAAATAAATATAAATTAATAATGGATTTTAAAAATTACAGTAGAAATTTAAATATAGAAAATTTTTCTGTTTAACTAATCGCTATTATATGGGACATCTGGCATCGACGTTACACGCTAGTCTGTAAGCCTATCTTTCAATGGAAGAAAATCTGATAAATATTCTTTGTTAGGTTTCTAATTTATTTAAATTCTATCGATTTATTAATATTTGTACGAAGAATTTTAACCAAACGTGGATAGTCCCATAAAGCTTCTAAGTCGATTTTGGTCGAATGTAGTGGCAAATTCGATCGTTTGGAATTCTATCACGTGACCTTGAAGATAGTCTGTCTCCCGGCTAAAGGAGAATTTACGACAGAATTTCGATCGTTTCTTTTTTTTTAACTCGTTTCGTTTATTTTATTCCAATTAATTCCCTTTAATACGAATTTATTAAGTTTAGTTTCTTTTTCCTTTAATGCATTCGAGTAATGTAATAAAGGTAAACGAAACGGGCGAGTCGGTACGAGAGGAACGTTGTGTTAACCTAAATACATTAAAGCCATTGAGAATCGATACTCGAATATGCATTTATGAAGCGTGAACCGAAACGTTCTTCCAGTTTTTTTTTCCATCCGCGTAGATTATGCATAGGGTATGGGTAATTTCCAGTATATATCTGTACATATAATCCATCCTATAAATTATCTATACTCTGTACATAATCTACACATCTCTATACAGTACACATATACAGATATGTCCAAAACATATTTCTCTTTTCTTTATCTCACACTCTTCAAATAGATCTAGGTATGATATTACATATACATAGATACATGTATATACAGTATGTGACATATACAGTACGTATACCTACATATATATTACATACACAAAATACATGAGCTTTCTATAGACACCTTTTCAAAAATACTATGTATATCATTCATTTAATCCTATATTTTGCTTCAAAATTATATTATCTATGCCCTGAATGGATTTATTCTTATCTTATATCTATCTAACTAAATATTTACTATATTATGTTATATGTAGTAAATATATCTCCATGAGATTTGGGATAAAAGGATGCAATGTTTAATGTTGTTATCATCTTTTAAAACAAAGTTTTATGTAGCTTTTTTATCATAATTCTGCGAGTTGAAAGTAATTATCGGAAATGTGGAAGTGAACAAATATTGATAGTATCGTTGTTTAAATTTTTTAGTTTTAATATATTTAAAATCTAGTTTTAAATAGGCCAAACCGTACTCTGCAATTTATATATAAATATTTTTTTTTTAAAGAAGAAGAAAAACTACATAGTCAATAAACTATTTTAGGGTTAAAAATACTTTCTAGTTTAAAAAATATAATGCGTTAGTAATAACGCAAATATGATTAATAGTAATAAAATCCCATAATATTTATGCCACAAAAATAAACGATAAGTCAGAATTGCATTTTTGTCTTACAAACAGGATTTAACTCAATCGATTGTAAAAGTTCTCCTTTTATTCGATAATCTTTCCTTCTATTTTTTCACTCGACTATTTTAAAATGTCGTTTCTTATTTTACTGTAATGAATATTTACAGATTTCAAACATAAATCTCTACACGAGAAATTTTTTTGTGCAATTTCTAAGAATGGGCGGTATATTGTTTCACGCAGATCTTATTTTATATCGAAATGAAAGAGAATGCATACGAGAAATTTTTAATTGAAATTTTAAACCTTCAAAACTTTTTAACAATTTGTGTGGTTACATACGTGGGTTGAAATTCCTGGTATGTTTCCTGCGATTATAATGCATCCGTTCAACAAATTGAATAAAGTGTATGTAAAGAAAAGATAAGGAACCTATCCTATTACAGGATATATCTAGAAAAATATATGATATAGCTCAAAATGATTAGATATTATCACAATTTTAGTCATTTCTAATTATTTTAAATATAGCATTAGCCATTATAAGTTTGGGTTTATAAAATTAATTTCATATATTTGTTTATTACAATATCCAGCTAATGTTTCTGTATAGGATATATCATTTATTTTAATTACTAATATGTAATACCTATTTTTCTATCTACAGAAAATATTAAGATGGGTTACTTCAATGCTTCATTGAGTGTGTCATTTTAATCAGATTTATCAGAAAATAAACGATAGTAATGTTTTTATTTTGTAAAGTAATAAGCAGTGAAGACAGATTGTATATAAACAATAGATAATATTATTTGTTATGAATAAAATACAGTACATTCCATTTACTAAACGTAATTTTTTTAATTATTACTTTGTACGTATAATTCTTTTTGATTAGTTAAATCCTAAATTCAGCAAGACTGAATCAAATAATCTGAAGGAATGAATTAGAATATTAAGTAAATTATTTAAAAGTTATATTCGTACTGTTTGTTCTTAATTAATTCTATAAGTGTCGCTTCTAAGTACTTTATTCGATTTTTTTAAAATTCATTGTAATAAGATCGGGTGTATTGAATAAAGTAGATTTAAAAATTTGAAAATTGATAGTCTCATTTAATATACTTTTAATTATTTTTATAATTTACAGTTAAAAAATTTTGTTAGAAATATCCAAGCATTGAAGTAACCCATCTTAATATTTTCTGTAGATAGAAAAATAGGTATTACATATTAGTAATTAAAATAAATTCCCGTAGAGATTTAAATAACGTAATATTTATCCTTAATTGTTATATAGAATAAATTCTTGCGTCACAAAAGAAGCGGAAATACCTTATATTGTGGGAGGTATTTTGATTATTGTTACATAAAATTTCCATTTGTGAAAACTGAAAGTTCATTCCAATATTTATCCGTGTGATTCAGCAGTTGGGCATATGCCATCGATGATGGACGCAAAATTAGATACAGGTAAGTAGGACATTTGTAAAGACGCAGAAAAGTCATCTAGCAAAGTGCGGATAGAAGCCCGGATGTTACGCTAATGGTCGAAGTAGAACGTGTCACATTTTCTCTAAGCTTAATATTTGATTTTAATTTTCGATTTAAAGTGAAAATATCGCCAACGAAACATAATTGACTCTCTCTTTTAACGGACCGCAAAATTAACCTTGAACAATAAAAATCGATATGGGCGCATCTCATAATCTCCGATTAAATCACTTCTCTTTCCATCTCCATGTAATTTACTTTGAATTTTTCGAGGAACCATTCCTATCTATTTTAAATACTTCGTCGAAGGAAATTTACTCAATGTTTTTGTTAATGAGGGCTTAAAAAATTTGCGAACAGTTCAAAATCTTAGAGTTAAATGGAAATTGTTTATTCTTTATACAGAAGTTTGTTTAATCGAGAATGACGATTTAAATTATACAATGTTGCATCAGTCGTTTTCAATGGTAAATTATGTTTGATTTTTCTATAAGGCTATCGGCAATTATCAAGTTTTTCTAGGTCAAGGAGAAAATGACGACAATTTAAAGACGAATAAGAATAGAAGTGTTATCTTTATGATGGGTTTAATATTAGTAACGATTCGTCTGACTAAGGCGTTTAATTTATATTCCAATTAATTGATTTAAAAAATTATAATAGATCACAAAATATTAATCTCAACTAAAATCACTGTTAAAATTATATCGGAAAAGTAATTTCGATAAAATTAAGAAAATTTTAAAATTGGGTCGTTCTATAATCCTACAATTTGTATTATATTTCGTCATTTAGTTCAAATTTTTATGTAAAATAATGGTTTTTTTCCCGTCTTACGACGATTTATTACATAGGCGTATATATAACGTACGAAATAACCTATTATTTACGTAATATTTGTTTTATTTATTATTTCGCGAAATAATTAATATTTGTATATGTTTAAAATAAACTGGAATTTTAGATTTTTAATATTAAATTAGGATAGGTTATATAATTTCAATTTTTAAAATATTTTGACATAGATTAAATTACAGTTATTGTTTTTATATAATGTGTAAAACTACATATTATATACTGTTATGTATAAGTATTTATTGATATAAACTACACTCCTACATATAAACTACTAATGAATTGTGCAATGCAGCTGTGAATAATCGACAACATATTACTCAAAACTTACTATCTACAATGTTTTGCCAAGAGAAGTAAAATAATAAATTTAAATATTTCTTTCAGTGGTGAAGTCCTTCGAATTTCTATTTTGTAATCATTTGATTGCTAAATTGCAATATAGTAGACTATAATTATATATTAGTAAAGTAGGTTTACCTTTCATTGCTTTTCAAAAACTTATTATTCTCATTTACTCTGTATATCTGATTGATTTTAAAGAAATTGTGTGATTACAGAGACTAGGCAGAATTCCCATAAAAAATAGAAAAAGTTTAAATATATATTTTAATGATAGTTCAATAGCGATCTTCGAAAAATATGATGGATTTTTCACAAAGCTTTTTATTTGTATTACTTGTTTTCCAATTTTGATGATTCTGTCTTCAGTGGGATCAATTGACATACGATAAATCAATAATTGATCGACCATGGAAGCCCAAACCTTATTTCTGGATTCATACATGTAACTTAAGCTCCAAATCCTGCAATATATTCACGTATTAAAAATTTTAGACGGACTTAATGTCCTTAAATCGTATTTTATTCTAAAAATTGCCAACTTGGACTTATCGGAT